TATTGTTTAGTGTTTCCAACCTTACAATATTGTTTAGTATTCAATGGAGGGGGAGTAGCTAGCTGAATGGTTAGAACAATGCGCTCTCAGGTGGAAGACCCAGGTTCAGATCCTCCGTAAGGTGACATCTGGCAGCAGCACCAGTCAGTTGGCCCTAAATCCACTTTGCTTACACCACAAAAGTGATAAAATACAGGCAGTAATGGCAGTTGTTTTATGTGTGCTGTTGACAGTTCCCAACTTTACAATACTGTTTAGGGTGTAACAGAATTGTATGTGTATATATGCCTCTCTATCTGTCTACCACTGACTCTCCATCACACTGTCTTTCTCCATTTCAAGATTTCTAAACATGGACAGGGAACATATGAACTGATTTTCAAGATATTTAAAACGGACAGTGAACATATGAACTGATTTAAAAGACCTCTAACGTTTCCCTACTACAAACTAATGGTTGTGCGGGACGATACATGGGAGTAAACAGGGGATATAATCACAGAAAAAGGTGATAGGTTGGTATGATGGTTAAACAATGGATTTGTGTTTAACGATGAAGCTTATGGAAGTCTTACCATGGTTGACTGTGCTCTGAAATTATACATTAACCATTTTTACACACACACATGAACAAATATTTTCACACACATGAACAAAATATTTTCACACATACGAAAAAAAAAATGCTCAGATATCTCAACAATATTTGTGTAACAATCCTATTATTTTGCAAAAAAGAAAGCAGAAATTAACTGTCAACAAGAATATTTTTCAGACAATCTTAAATAGCCAAACAAAATATTTTACAAAATCAAAAGGAATTAAGCAGGGACATTTTATGCCATTCTGCAGGCAGAAATCAGCCAATCAAAAGAAGTGTATAAGTTACTTTCAGATATAGTGAGTGCGTTCCTGTTACGTTGACTGCACGTACCCGCACACACAGTGTGCTGTGGATAGCTGCTTGTCTGTCTGTTTTTATATGTGTTATGGGGCCCCATGGGGGTGGGGGGGCGGACCAGTCTCCCTAACAAGCATGTCGTAACTTCAACTAAATAGGGCTGTTGCCTTCAAAGTCAGTACATCTGCCTGAGATGTGAGCAACCAACAGTCTAGATGCAAATAAGCAAGATCTGTAAAACAAATGTACATGCTGAACTCAAGTTCCGGAAGAAAATCAAAGCCTAGAAGTGAATGGTTAAACCACAACTATCTGCCAATTTACATCTGGTAAATGCAATGATGGGCAGAAAAATGTGCCTGCCATACCAAAGGTACTGGGCTCAAATCCGCACCGAACCATCACCCACACAACAATAACTGACTTCAGGTTGCAGGCTGACCTCAGCAATGCTTCACTTTGATAATGTAGCTTCCATCACAGCCTGTCTGAAAGTCTCCTGTCAGCTCCTCCACCTCATGTAATTTCCTTCCAAGATGTCTCCTATATCCTGTGCCCATTTTTCTGCTGGTCGGCCTCTGTTCCTCCTTCCTAGAATCATGTCTTCCGCCAGTGTTCTTCCCAATCCACTGTGGTGTTTGATATGGACAAAATTTTTCAGTTTCTGAAATAAGATCCTGTACTTTTTTACCTAAAAGAACAAATGACCAAACAGACTTTATTTTAAAAGACCTAAGAACTGAGCTTGCAGGCCTGTCTTACATTCTGCCCCTCAGGTCTAAGTTAACTTAAACTAGCATAGTAATGCTCAAAATAATAATCAGATATTATTTAATATATTGCAGAAACTGCACTGAAGAAAAAAGCTGTTTTAGCTGCATTCAGAAGAACTAGCAGGCAAGCTGTAACCCTCAGAGTGCTTAATAAAACATACAAGCGTCAATCAACAACATGTCACGGTCACAGGAATGTTGTTATAAAGGCATGTGACAGGGACATGTGAAATATGAGGTCCAGATCCTAGAATAAAAAAAGCTGGAATCACACAACAGTCGACCTCTCTACAGCATTATACTATATATTCTGAACACTGGTCTGTCTTAGTAATTCTGGATTCATTCTTAGTGGATGGAACCTAGATCTTTTAGGCAGAAAATAAGAGTATTATTCACTGCTAAACTACAGACATTGAAAGAACATTCCAGATATACTGCAGACATACAGGTGGAAAAACAAGTCAACAATCTGTTTTTGTGACCACGCTAATGGTATATATGCCAACAATTGTGCTAGCTAAGAAATAAGGAAATACTGAGATGAAAGGCAGTTAAAATATGGTAACAGGTGTTAGCGAGCGATTTACACCTTGGGTTCTGACACCATTAACAGTGAAATGCTGAAGGATATACATCTTGTGTTCTGACACCATTAACAGTGAAATGTTCAAGGATATACATCTTGTGTTCTGGCACCATTAACAGTGAAATGTTCAAGGATATACATCTTGTGTTCTGACACCATTAACAGTGAAATGTTGAAGGATATACATCTTGTGTTCTGACACCATTAACAGTGAAATGCTGAAGGATATACATCTTGTGTTCTGGCACCATTAACAGTGAAATGTTCAAGGATATACATCTTGTGTTCTGACACCATTAACAATGAAATGCTGAAGGATATACATCTTGGGTTCTGAAACCATTATCAGTGAAATGCTAAAGGATATACATCTAGGGTTCCGACACCATAAGCAGTTAAGGTATAAAGATGACCTGTCCCAGAGCCCTGATATAGCTCCCAGTTAAGGAATAAAGGATACAAATTTCATGGTCATGAGATACGACCCAGTTAAGGATTAAAATAGTAGAAAATCCCTGACTCTTGACACTACAGTTGAAAGTTCATTTAACTGTGTCACTGTGAGAAGACTAAATCTAATTAGTTCCCGCTGTGACACAGTCCCGTTAATGCTGAGGGTATCAGCATGTCTGCAGTGACCTGTTTTTGAAAATTACAGATAAATGTTAATGGTTGTATGTCTCCTTTGTAGTGAAAAAAAAATGTGGATGTGAATAAATTAACTAAAATAACATTTGGGGAAAACGGGGGGAGGCTCCTTGTGAATCCAATCAGTTTTTTCTTGGCTAGGTTGATGTAAAATTTTCCCATTAGCTTCAGTGATACAGGTCACAGCACTAGTCACCAGATATATCTTTGTTTTAGCCCCCATGGAGTGTATTCCACTGAATGCTTCACTATTTTTATGTTTTCTGACTACTCCCTTTATATGTCATTTGAAAAAAAAAAAAAGTGTAGATACATTTTTAAACAATCTATGACTGACCTTGTTTTTAAAAAGAAATAATTATTCGAGAATTGCCATGTATTTTGTATTTAAACATTCATGAAGCAAAAACATTTGTGAAACTACCCAATGTAAGTCTGCAGCAGTGACTAATGTGTCAACAAGAAGATCAAAGTAGAACTAGACTAAAACAGTTGGTATGTTTCTAACAAACAGCAATATTAGAGGACAACTGTTGGTATATGCTTAACAAACAGCAATTTTAGAGGACAAGTGTATGCATGTGCTTAACAAACAGCAATATTAGAGGACAACGGTTGGCATATGCCTAACAAAAAGGAATATTAGAGGACAACTGTTGGTATATGTCTAACAAACAGTAATATTAGAGGACAACGGTTGGTATATGCATAATAAACAGTAATATTAGAGGACAACTGTTGGTATATGCCTAACAAACAGAAATAGAGAGGACAACTGTTGGTATATGCCTAACAAACAGAAATATCAGAGAGAGCAACTGTTGGTATATTCCTAACAAACAGTAATATTAGAGGACAACGGTTGGTATATGCCTAACAAACAGTAATATTAGAGGACAACTGTTGGTATATGCCTAACAAAAAGTAATATTAGAGGACAACTGTTGGTATATGCCTAACAAAAGGGAATATTAGAGGACAACTGTTGGTATATGTCTACAAAAAGTAATATTAGAGGACAACGGTTGGTATGTGCCTAACAAAAAGTAATATTAGAGGACAATGGTTGGTATGTGCCTAACAAAAAGTAATATTAGAGGACAACAGTTGGTATGTGCCTAACAAAAAGTAATATTAGAGGACAACTGTTGGTATGTTCCTAACAAAAAGTAATATGCAAAAATAACACCCTCATGTGGAAATAAACAAGTGAGAGAATACTTTAATCAGGATCCACAAACTCAGAAAGTATGTGCATCCTGTCTGACTGCCAACAGTAAAAATGTTAACTGTAAACTTCACAACATTTACAGCTGAGTCTTGCTGAGAAAGATTCATCATTATGTTCAGTCACAATAAATGTTTAGCAGAAATATAATGATACCAACTGTAAGTTTCACATCTGTTTTACAGTTTCAGAGATTCCTCATTGTCTATTCCTTTGTATCCTAGAGCGTACAAGTACTGTAAAGCTGCCATTTAACTGTGTCAAAAATCCCTGTCCCCATCTCTCCCGTTTCCTATAAATCAACTACCTGTTGGTAGGGATGGAGAGAAGGAGACTGACAGAGGGAGAATACAGAAAGGGGCGGATGAAGATCCCAGACAACTGGTTAAAGACAAATGTCCCATGGAGAGATTATACCCCTAACCCATACAACAGTATGCTAGTGGGCTACCGCTCTTTACATCTAGTAAATGGAGTAGACATATTGTGTATCTTGATCACCCAAAACAAAAACATTTACCAATAATATAAAATAAAACTGAAAAATTTTCTAATACAATAGAAAATCTTAATGTTTAAAATATTCCAAACATAAATGTGGATTTCATTTTGATTACACTGGAAACAAACTTCCATTTTCAATATCATGAAAAACAAATACATGAAAAGAAATGGGTAGGAAGAAAAATTGTCAGAAATAGTTCATAACAGATGGTGGATTCTGGCAAAGTGAAATACTGCAGAACAAGCAAAGGGTGTCTTAATATAATAACTATACAAATGTTTAACACAGGAAAAATGAAGCCTGGTTGGACAAAACTAGGAGCAGAAGCACCAATCGCATGCAGTCAGAAGCAGGGCCTACAAAGTTACTGACATAGTGGTTCTGTCTGTACTCAGGAGTGATGTCCTTTCTGTGAGTGCTCTCCGGAAACTGTCCCTCTTCCAACCGTAGACGATGCTGTTGAGCAGTCCCTGGAGAGGTCCCAGAATGATCTGCAACAAAATCACAGATACAGTTACAGAGGTGGTAGAACTTCACAATGGGAAAACATATAAACTTTGGAGCAGCCCCTAAAGAGAGGTCCCAGAATGATCTACAACAGAAGCACAGAAACAGTTTCAGAAGTGGTAGAACTTCACAATTGGAAAACATATAAACTTTGGAGCAGCCCCTTAAGAGAGGTCCCAGAATGATCTACAACAGAAGCACAGAAACAGTTACAGAAGTTGTAGAACTCTACAATGGGAAAACTTATATAAACTTTGGAGCTGCCCCTAAAGAGAGGTCCCAGAATGATCTACAACAGAAGCACAGAAACAGTTACAGAAGTTGCAGAACTCTACAATGGGAAAACTTATTGAGCATCAGTGTGCAGTCTTTGATACTCATGCAGGAAACAATGCCAGCCTATATCTATAAGGAGCGTTTATTTGAAACCTGTTTGAACCGCACTGCATGCATTGAATATGATCACTTCACAGTCATGTGTTAAGTACTGACCAATGAATTCATGAGTACAGGCTTATGGCCACATGATGGATAGGTTCTGTTTCTGACCCTTTAGAAAATGGCTAGGTCGATCCACAGCTGTCCAAAATTGATGCAGCAACACCATCAATTCCTCTACAGATTTCCCCTGGGAAGAGTGAGCACTTACAGAGATATCTGAAGAACAGCAGTTTAATGAGTTTCTGGGTGCTGCAGCTCCAGCCTTGTTTACACTAGTGGCACAGTGGGTAAATGATGATACATTCATATTTATGTAGACCAACTGACATTCAGTGGACAGATGTGGTCAACATCAAGCCGGCTGCTTTTACTTTCCAGGTCATTACCTGACACCTACTTTTTTCTTTAGCTGCGTTGGCAGTCAATACTTTAGAAATCGGCTAAATACAGATTCGAACCTAAGCCCTTTGGGTTGGCAGGTAAGCACCAAGGCACTACACTCCCACATGAAAAGAGCTATGAAGAAACTGAGTTGATTACCTGAATGACTAGTCCAGGATAGAATCTGTACATGCTGTAGCCGTCAGTGAATGATGCATATCCAACCACAATAGCTGAAAGATAAGCAACCAAGACTCATCAGAAAATATCAATGTTTCATTCATGGAGCCTAGACATTACCTTCTAAGACTGAAGAGCTTTTGGAGCCTTTGCCAGTTTATCTGCCAAAGTGTCTGTCATGTTTTGTGTCTACTTTCATGCTAGTCAATGCCTGCCTCTTCTCCTAAGACAAGTGTCTTCTACAGATCTTCCTAAGCCTTTGAGATGGTAAATATGACCAAAGTATTTCAGCTTCTGAGACCTGATAGAATTTATGAGCCAGTAGAAATAAAACTGTTGCACCTTTCTATCCTTCCAGATGATCGACAGTCTTCCAGTGTGCTTTAGGGTCGCATAAGAATCACAGTTCATTGTAACAACAAGTGTGATTCGCAAGACCAGCTTACATATGTCAGCTTAAAAAATGTCAAAAAGAATGGCATGAATATATTACACACATAACAAATATGTTGGCATCTGCAAGTCAACAGAAAATAATCAAATAGATGATGAGTAGCCTGATAAAAGTAAGCTGATGCTAACAACCATGATGTGGAAAAATTGTGACAGACCTGGTGATAACAGCAATGATGTGAAAAAATTGTGACATACCTGGTGATAACAGCAGTGAAGTGGAAAAATTGTGACAGACCTGAAGATAACAGCAATGATGTGGAAACACTATGACAGACCTGCCGATAACAGCAATGATGTGGAAACACTATGACAGACCTGACAATAACAGCAATGATGTAGAAACACTATGACAGACCTGACAATAACAGCAATGATGTGAAACCACTATGACAGACCTGACAATAACAGCAATTATGTGGAAACACTATGACAGACCTGACGATAACAGCAATGATGTGGAAACACTATGACAGACCTGACGATAACAGCAATGATGTGGAAACACTATGACAGACCTGACGATAACAGCAATGATGTGGAAACACTATGACAGACCTGACAATAACAGCAATGATGTAGAAACACTATGACAGACCTGACGATAACAGCAATGATGTGAAACCACTATGACAGACCTGACAATAACAGCAATTATGTGGAAACACTATGACAGACCTGACGATAACAGCAATGATGTGGAAACACTATGACAGACCTGACGATAACAGCAATGATGTGGAAACACTATGACAGACCTGACGATAACAGCAATGATGTGGAAACACTATGACAGACCTGACAATAACAGCAATGATGTGGAAACACTATGACAGACCTGACAATAACAGCAATGATGTAGAAACACTATGACAGACCTGACGATAACAGCAATGATGTGAAACCACTATGACAGACCTGACAATAACAGCAATTATGTGGAAACACTATGACAGACCTGACGATAACAGCAATGATGTGGAAACACTATGACAGACCTGACAATAACAGCAATGATGTGGAAACACTATGACAGACCTGAAGATAATAGCAATGATGTGGAAACACTATGACAGACCTGACGATAACAGCAATGATGTGAAACCACTATGACAGACCTGACAATAACAGCAATGATGTGGAAACACTATGACAGACCTGAAGATAACAGCAATGATGTGGAAACACTATGACAGATCTGACGATAACAGCAATGATGTAGAAACACTATGACAGACCTGAAGATAACAGCAATGATGTGGAAACACTATGACAGACCTGACAATAACAGCAATGATGTAGAAACACTATGACAGACCTGACAATAACAGCAATAATGTAGAAACACTATGACAGACCTGACAATAACAGCAATGATGTAGAAACACTATGACAGACCTGACAATAACAGCAATGATGTAGAAACACTATGACAGACCTGACGATAACAGCAATGATGTGGAAACACTATGACAGACCTGACAATAACAGCAATGATGTAGAAACACTATGACAGACCTGACAATAACAGCAATGATGTGGAAACACTATGACAGACCTGACGATAACAGCAATGATGTGGAAACACTATGACAGATCTGACGATAACAGCAATGATGTAGAAACACTATGACAGACCTGAAGATAACAGCAATGATGTGGAAACACTATGACAGACCTGACAATAACAGCAATGATGTAGAAACACTATGACAGACCTGAAGATAACAGCAATGATGTGGAAACACTATGACAGATCTGACAATAACAGCAATGATGTGAAACCACTATGACAGACCTGACAATAACAGCAATGATGTGGAAACACTATGACAGACCTGACGATAACAGCAATGATGTAGAAACACTATGACAGACCTGACGATAACAGCAATGATGTGAAACCACTATGACAGACCTGACAATAACAGCAATGATGTGGAAACACTATGACAGACCTGACAATAACAGCAATGATGTAGAAACACTATGACAGACCTGACAATAACAGCAATGATGTGGAAACACTATGACAGACCTGACGATAACAGCAATGATGTGGAAACACTATGACAGATCTGACGATAACAGCAATGATGTAGAAACACTATGACAGACCTGAAGATAACAGCAATGATGTGGAAACACTATGACAGATCTGACAATAACAGCAATGATGTGAAACCACTATGACAGACCTGACAATAACAGCAATGATGTAGAAACACTATGACAGACCTGAAGATAATAGCAATGATGTGGAAACACTATGACAGACCTGACAATAACAGATTTGGAGCTCTTGTGATTCCCACTTAGTCTGGAAATAGTAAACACAGCCATTGAAAGATTCAGCTGGGAAAATGAACTCATATTTTCTGCTAAACCTTTACAAAAAGGTACCTAAAGTGAATGACCTAGAAACTGGCCTGAGACCATGGAGGTGAAACTTACAAAGAAATGCTAATGATGGTTGGAAATCCCAGTCATAAATTCAGAGAAGGGGACATAACATGTCAGTAAACAAAAAAGCACCTACACTAGATGTCCCTGGGGTTTTCCAGGCGTTAATAACCTCACAGGCCACTCCCAGTGAAATTAACATCATGTCGGGAAAATACAGGTTAACGATCCTCAGTGAACCCAGTTCAACAGAGAGGCAGAATTAGTGTCTGCGATATATACACTCCCCACACAGAAAAACCTTTTATCTTTTTAAATATTCTTTAATAATTATTATTCTTATCTGTCTCTCTCTACTTTTATATCTCCTCTTCTCTCTATCCCTCCTTTAAAATGTTAAATCCCACATGATTACAAGGACATCTCGCTGTGGTATACGTCTCTCAGCAAAAAGTTAAATGGCTGAAAAACTTCACTAATAATCCGAATAATAATGTAGTCAAAGGTTACTAATTAGGCATGAGGGGAAATCAAATGTGTTGAGCTGAGCGGTGCCCTAGCTCCAAACCACAAAAAACTGTGTCAAGTGAATTTTTTTTTCAAGGATGAATGAAGAAGAATGTGAATGTCAATCAGCTGAGAACAGAATGTGAATGTCAATCAGTTGGGAACACATAATCACAATAAAAGAGTCAACTTACATGGCAGCCAGCAGACAAAAAACACAGCCTGATAAAAGCAGGTCTTCCTTCTCAAAAGCCTCTCCTCCTGTCTCTGATGATAGCTCAACAGTCCTGGTGAAGCATTCACATCATTATGCACTATCAACATCTCTGTGTGTTTATGTTTATAAACTTTCTGACATTTATAACTCATGCAAGCTGAAATATTTTGGTCATATCAAGCGCCACAAAGGATTGGAAAAATTATAGCAGAAATCATGGTACCAGAAGGAGGGGCAGGGGCCGTCCGACATGAAGATGCCCACAGGATATAAGTGACTCCTTGAGTATGGTACATGAAGCAGGAGAACTGGCGAGAGACTGAGTTTCTTTCAGGTAGACTGTGATGACAGCGACGTTCTGCACAGGACCTGCTACATGATGATGATGAGGATGTATACTTATAGCATCATTAATACTGGCAGTTTTATTTGTTGGCACTTTTCAACTTTCCAGATGATAGTGTTATACAGTGCTATGAGGAGGCATTGGACTCCCAGCCCATGGCGATGGCAAGTGTGACTAGCAAGACCTGTTGTGTCAAAAAAAAGTCTTCCACAAGGAAAGAATGGGATTTCAGGACCACCGTTGTCAACCTTTGTGTTTAATCCATTTCTTCTCAGATGCTCAGCTCTCATCCTTTCTGCAACCATATCATTTCTCCCTTCATTCCCATTCTCTTGCAGATGTGCCCCTCCACACAACAGGACCCATGGCATTTCGCTCACAGGAGTTCACCTCAATACCTGTATCATTCATGTCCCAGTTGCACACATCTTTATATTGTATTAGAGGTTGGCCTCAACATCTTCTACCCATCTTTAATTCAACACACAGAATGTCCTCTGGGACTGTGCCATCCTTCCAGTACCTCAGTGTTTGTGATCTTGTCCTGCCACTTAATGCCAAGTATTCTTCTTAGGCATCGTATGTGAAAGCTATTTAAACGTTTCACCTGGTGCGAATAAGCTGACCAAGTTTCACTGCCATAATGGAGACTGCAGGGAACAGAAGACTGGTAGACAAGAGTTTTTGTTTTAATCGTGAGCTTTCTGTTCTCTCACTCTTTTTTGTTAATCTGCACATTGTTGTTGCTGCCTTACCAACCTGGATGTTGATTTCTTGATCCAGCGACAGTTTGTTATTCACTGTGGATCCCGGACAGGTCAAATGGTCAACTGTCTCTGTTAACAGAGTTTATACTTTTAACCTTAGATCTGATGTTTATAACCACAATTTTATATTTATAATCTCTGGTATATGCCTTCTTTTGATATAATATCCAAGTCAGGTTGCAGTGTGGTTTACTTTGCTTGTATATTACAGGTATAATCTTTAATTTACATTTAACTTCTTATTTACATTTAAAGTGTCTGCTGACAGTCATGTAACCCCCAGCTGACATTTACAACACCCTGTTTACACATTTTATATATCATGACCACACAAGTGGTGTAGTGGCTAGTCACTCGCCTGCAGATCTAAAGGTCAAGGAGTTCAGGTCCTAATGGAGCTGGCTTTTTGTCAAAAATTACCTTGGCTTTCAGGTTGACCCAGTCTTAAATGGGTATCAGGTACAGTCCTGGGAAGCAAAGGCGGCTAGCGTAATGCTTACCACATCATCCACAGAGTGTTGATTGGTCTATAAAGTATAATTCTAGCTCTATTTGCCTGAAGGTGTGAAAAAAAGTCCTTTTTTTCCCTCTTAGATATCATGATATGTCATAAATAATTGAGATCATTCTTGCATGTGTTGTTAAATGTCTACACACACAAAAACGCCTGCTGAAACTTACCACTTCTTATAACAACCAGTCTGTATGTTCTCCAGATAAGCAAATAGAGAACCTGAAATATAAATATTTTCTTCAAATTATTATTTACAGAATAACATTATACATGGCTGTTATATTTTACCCATTTATAAAAGACAACCATTACATCGCCTCGTTCGGTGTTCATCCTTAAAAAGGTGGCTGGTGCACTGTGTTTTCAGCTAGACTGTTATGTCTGCACCTTTCAGACATTCATATTCTAATGTACTATAAATTTAATTAAACCCAGTCGTTTTACATGTCTGGGTCAACTCAGCCCCCTGTATGTCTAAATTTATCTAGTCCATGGACATGTCTTGGTTAACTCAGCCCCCTGTGTGTCTGAATTCAACCCAGCCCCTACATATTTCTGCATTAGCTCGGTCCCTAATTTTGTGCCTGAATTCAAATTAATAGACTGGCATGCCAGGTTCAACTCAACCCCTTGATTACTAGTCTAAATTGGACCCAGCCCCTATAAGTGTCTTGGTCAACTCTGCTTCCTAATGGTGCGTCTAAATGTAAGTTAGTCAACCAAAATGTCTAGGGTCATTCAGTCCCTTGATTACATGTCTGAAATCAACCCTGACCCTGGGCATGCTTAGGGTCCAGTCACCTCTTCTAACTGAGGTAACTAAGATGTCTCTAGAATATAAATGCATTGAGGAATGGAACAAGTCATTCTTCTACTTCGAGCTCATCGGCTGTCAATCCAGTGGAAAGCTCTGGTTGTTTGTCCATTTCTGTTCCAGAAACTGAGTGTTGCATGCACATTCATTTTGCAGATCTGACTTATTCACATGCTCTCGGGCAGATGCACTCCGACTTTGAAGTAAGGCCCCCCCACTCCCCCACCAACATAATTATAAACACAGCCAATCTTCACAAGGATCTTGCCAACTTACCATGTTCACAACCATAACCATGACTAAAGGGATCAGGAACACCAGTCTGGCCATGTCATGCACGAATGCCTCTTCCTCCTGATCAAATGGAAACAAGGTCATGAGAAAGCTGCAACTTTTCAACATTACATATTTGGAACAACTCTTCACTATAGTCATGTGGCTCTGCAACTTAGAGGTTAGTCATGTGGCACTGTGACAAAGAGGTTAGTGTTTAACCCTTTCGCTGCTATGGACATCTTTACCCGATTTCCCGTACGCTGCTACGCCCGTCTTTGGACGTTATTTTTTTTGGGACCCCCAGTGCTATGGACGTCCCAAGCCGTTTTTGGACTTTTCTTACAGATTTCTGTTACCTCGTATTTTATTGGCTGAAGGGCAATATACATTAGCTATATTTAGATTAAAATGACCCGTTTACATATGATTAAAAGCACTGGCACATGCTTTTAGGTGTGTTTAAGGTGTGTTTACTGCATTCTGCGTCATCCCGTTGCTTTGTTTACCATGACAGCGTAGTCGGTGATCTGTGTATTTTGTGCCCTGATATATATTTGTGCTTTTGGATTATTCTACACTTAGTACAAAATGGCAAGAAAACTTGTTAAAGTTGATGAAGAATTGATGGAGTTTCTGTCAAGAAGTGATAGAGAAGATGACTTTGAAATGTGTACTTCTGACAGTGAACAAGAAGATTTGACTAGGCCATCTGTATCGATTGCTGAAACCGGCGTGTCCAAAAAAAAAGCTGTTTGCTTGTCCGACGTCCTCATCGTCGGAATCAGAGAGCAGCGACAATGAAGCGCCATCAAAACGGCAATAAATTGATCAGTTGTCTTGATGAACCGATGATTTGAAACCAGTAGTGCATAATTTTGATGACTCCAGCTCTATCTGTATTTCTGCTACTGTAAATTCAAACAGTTCAGTCACTAAAAATTCTCGTCTTTCCCGTTGGACAGACACAGATTCGGACAAATTTTTTTGTTTGTTGTTGTTGTCTGTCTGCTAATGCTTAGAACAAAGAAACTCAAAATAGAGTACTTGAGCAAAGACTGTTTGCAAAAAACTCCCGTAAAATAATGTCGAGGGACATACTTTTACTATTGTTGAGAATCCCAAACATTTCTCAGACAACAGTGCTCATGCAGGCGGTGATAGACTACAAGCTTAGACACGTTATTGATAGCCTGCGCACATCATTCATTATGTTCATTCACACAGCGCAATGCGTCAAGCGGTAGCATAGTGTAGTTGGTATCACGTTAGCCTTAGAATCAGAGGGTCGTGTGTTCAACCCCCGAAGGTTTTTTTATATTTTTTTTTAATTAATTGTAAATTTTTCTTTCAGTTCCTGCTACTTTTCAGCAACGGACGACTCAAGTATTATTATTATTTTTAAAAATTATTTTGGTATGTAATAACATGGTGACTACAAATAACTATGGTTAAAGTGGCAGCCGTGGTAGGTTCGTCAATCAAATTTTGGGATACGGACTGGGAACAGTTTTTCCCATTAATTCCCCCCTCCCCAGAAGCGTGATAGCTCCGTTAGTCAAGTTTGTGGGGCACCATCATGTCTTTGACTTGTCACCACTCGGACCAACCACACAACTCCCCAGGGTAAAATGTTTTAGGTGTACAAAATATAGCCCTCACCGCCAACACAACTTTTGCGTTTGGAGGATAGAAAAGTATTGCGCACAGCAGAGACTTTTTTTCCCACATTGCTTAGCACAGGGCAGACAACTATTTCCGGGAACGTAGCTGCGAAAGGGTTAATTACATTTTTGCCCATTCTACTTTTGAAAATAGAATGATATCATTTAGCTATATAGTATCCATTATACCCAATAACTTGAATAGTATATAGTTAAACTATACAGTAATCCATTCAAAACTAGGCCAGTATAGTTTAACTTACAGTGGTCCATTCTACAACGAAACTAGAATGGTAAAGTTTAACTATATATATTTTATGTCAGCACTAGGTTAGTATAGTTTATACAGTGCTCCATTGCACTACAAATCTACAATGGTATAGATTAACTATTAAGTGATTAATTCAACCACATAACTAGAATGGTATATAACTATACTGTAATCTATTTGTCTACTTTAGCACTATACTGAAATAGTTAACACAGTAGTAACAGTAAATAGGGATAAGAATGGAAGACAAAGACAAGAGAAATTATTTAGTGTATAAATGAATTTACCCCATTCCAACAGCTCTCTCCATCAAATCTGAAATCTGCAAAACATCTGAAAAGCAGAAGGAATATAGATAATTTATGTCCAATGGCTGCAAGTTGTGCATCAAGAAAACAATGAACTTATGGAAAATATAAAAAACAAAACGATCAAATGCCATGAAAACAACAGCATCAGACACTTGAAATCCCAGTGTAGTTTACGGGGCCCCACTGTGGGGAAAACAAGAATAGACTCATGGTCTCTCCAACAAGCATGTCATAAGAGTCGACTAATTGCGAGCTTCTTTCAAAGTCAGAATGCTTTTGCCCCAGAGGCAAGGAACCAACAATCCGCAAAAATTACCTCTGTAAACTGGATGTGCATGCAACAGCCAGGTCATGGAACAAGACTAAAGTCCAGAGGTTGACAAAGACTGGAACTTTCCGACCGAGTGTACGACGGGTAAAGGCAAGGGAAAGAAGAAGATACATGAAAAACACCAGTGCCATCACAAATGGAATGAGAATAATGGAACAAATGATCACAGAAATGTTGAGAGTTAAGCATCTGAGAAGAAGCACAATAGATATGTTGGCATGGAACAAATGATCACAGAAATGTTGACAACTAAGCATTTGAGAAGAAGCACAATAGATATGTTGGCATGGAACAAATGATCACAGAAATACTGAAAGCTAAGCATCTGAGAAGAAGCACAATAAATATGTTGGCATGGAACAAATGATCATAGAAATGCTGAGAGCTAAGCATCTGAGAAGAAGCACTATAAATATATGTACAACAGCCCTGAAATCTCCTGCTTTAACTGTGCAAGACTTTTCTTGATACTAGCGGGTCTTGCCATTCAGTCGTCATTACCATGGGCTGTGACTCTGATGCCTTGCCACAGCATAATATATCACTCATCTCATCTATTCCTGATCTTCTGGTACCTTGCAGCATTGAGGTGAAGTATAATTTACAGGAAAGTGCCTATTTGTGCACTTTGCAAATGGGGACTCCCAGTTATTCCTTCTGTCCATCATTTGCATGGTTGGCCTCGTCTTTGCTTCTTGTCTGGTCCATACATCATTGAATGCTGTGGTATACTGTTTGTTGACATTTGCATTACATGGCCAAACCATTTCGCTTGTTGTTTTCTAATAAAATCCAGAGCTTCTATTACCCCCATTCTCCTTCAGATTTCATCATCTCTGATCTTATCTCTTCTTGTTATATAAGAGCCCTTCACAAGAATTTCATTTCAATTTATGTAATTTTTTAATTCCTCTTTTCCTGTGATAGTCCGGGTCTGGCACTGACAACAAAGGTTCGGCAAGAAGATTGTGCTGTTTTGGTCTCTACTGACACTGGTTGTTTCTCAGTACTGGTGCCATCTGCCCGAGGAGTTGGTTTGCTCTGTTACATCTGTCATCTCAGTACTGATACCATCTGCCCGAGGAGTTGGTTTGCTCTTACATCTGTCATCTCAGTACTGATACCATCTGCCCGAGGAGTTGGTTTGCTCTTTTACATCTGTCATCTGAGTACTGATACCATCTGCCCGAGGAGTTGGTTTGCTCTTTTACATCTGTCATCTGAGTACTGATACCATCTGCCCGAGGAGTTGGTTTGCTCTTTTACATCTGTCATCTGAGTACTGATACCATCTGCCCGAGGAGTTTGTTTGCTCTGTTACATCTGTCATCTCAGTACTGATGCCATCTACCTGAGGAGTTTGGTTGCTCTGTTACATCTGTCATTGATTCAGTCTTCTGATCTGCCAGCTGGTGACAGTGTGCTTCCTCAGTGTTTAAAGTGGTACATCTGTCACATGAAGCACAATGCAGATTCTGATGTACCAGTTGGCACTTGATGAATAATGTGGTCAACATCATGTCAGCTGCCTATACTTCCCAGGACACTTTCACATAGGGTGGTGTGACCTGGAGCCAAGGTCAATCATTTACAAATCAGAAGAGGCCAGAGGTGTGCCAGACTGGATTCCACATGAGAGGCCAGAGGTGTGCCAGAACAGGAGATGCCAGAGGTGTGCCAGACTGGATTCCCCATGAGAGGCCAGAGGTGTGCCAGACTGGATTCCCCATGAGAGGCAAGAGGTGTGCCAGACTGGATTCCACATGAGAGGCCAGAGGTGTGCCAGACTGGATTCCCCATGAGATGCCAGAGGTGTGCCAGACTGGATTCCCCATGAGAGGCCAGAAGTGTGCCAGACAGGATTCCTCAGGATAGAATCTTCAAAGGATTGCACAGGATAGAATGGAATGGAGGAATAGCCTGTGAGCCCTATGTGACATAAAATGGTACACTATGATGATGATGATGATGATGGCCACTACTGGTTCCGATCCTCAAACAGTAATCTAAGACTTACAGTGAGCACTGTTTCTTTTTAAATTCACCCTGGCTCTTGATAATGATAACGATGGCAAGGATCAGTGGAATCAACCTAGAGTCAGATGCAAAGCAAGACACTCAGTAACAAGACAAACAACTCCTCTCTGTGTGTGGTGTTTAAGCAAATAATGGAGGTCTGGTACACCTTTCTTCTTGTCTCTGCTCCTGGAATGCCTGGCAGTGTCAGAGAATAGATTTTAAAAACATGCTATCATCTGTTTCAGTGGTCAAGTGCCCGTGTGGGGGTTCTAGGGCACCATGGGGGTGTGGGGGTTCTAGGGCACCATGGGGGTGTGGGGGTTCTAGGGCACCATGGTGGTGTCAGGGTTCTAGGGCACCATGGTGGTGTCAGGGTTATAGGGCACCATGGGGGTCTGGGGGTTCTAGGGCACCATGGGGGTGTCAGGGTTTAAGGACACCATGGGGGTGTGAGGGTTCTAGGGCACCATGGGGGTGTCGGGGTTCTAGGGCACCATGGTGGTGTCAGGGTTCTAGGGCACCATGGTGGTGTCAGGGTTTAAGGACATCATGGGGGTGTGAGGGTTCTAGGGCACCATGGGGGTGTGGGGGTTCTAGGGCACCATGGTGGTGTCAGGGTTATAGGGCACCATGGGGGTGTGGGGGTTCTAGGGCACCATGGGGGTGTCGGGGTTCTAGGACACCGTGGAGGTGTGGAGGTTCTAGGGCACCATGGGGGTGTGGGGGTTCAAGGGCACCATGGTGGTGTGGGAGTTCTAGGGCACCATGGTGGTGTGGGGGTTCTAGGGCACCATGGTGGTGTCAGGGTTCTAGGGCACCATGGTGGTGTGGGAGTTCTAGGGCACCATGGTGGTGTGGGAGTTCTAGGGCACCATGGTGGTGTCAGGGTTCTAGGGCACCATGGTGGTGTCAGGGTTCTAGGGCACCATGGTGGTGTCAGGGTTCTACGTCACCATGGTGGTGTCAGGGTTCTAGGGCACCATGGTGGTGTGGGAGTTCTAGGGCACCATGGTGGTGTCAGGGTTCTAGGGCACCATGGTGGTGTCAGGGTTCTAGGGCACCATGGTGGTGTGGGAGTTCTAGGGCACCAAGGTGGTGTAGGAGTTCTAGGGCACCATAGTGGTGTCAGGGTTTAAGGACACCATAGGGGTGTGGGGGTTCTAGGGCACCATGGTGGTGTCAGGGTTTAAGGACACCATGGAGGTGTGGGGGTTCTGGGGCACCATGGGGGTGTGGGGGTTCTAGGGCACCATGGTGGTGTGGGAGTTCTAGGGCACCATGGTGGTGTCAGGGTTCTAGGGCACCATGGAGGTGTGGGGGTTTTAGGGCACCATGGTGGTGTCAGGGTTCTATGGCACCATGGTGGTGTCAGGGTTCTAGGGCACCATGGTGGTGTCAGAGTTATAGGGAACCATGGGGGTGTGGGGGTTCTAGGGCACTATGGTGGTGTCAGGGTTATAGTGCACCATGGGAGTGTGGGGGTTTTAGGGCACCATGGGGGTGTGGGGGTTCTAGGGCACCATGGGGGTGTGGGGGTTTTAGGGCACCATGGGGGTGTGGGGGTTCTAGGGCACCATGGGGGTGTCAGGGTTCTAGGGCACCATGGGGGTGTCAGGGTTCTAGGGCACCATGGGGGTGTCAGGGTTCTAGGGCACTATGGTGGTGTCAGGGTTATAGCGCACCATGGGGGTGTGGGGGTTCTAGGGCACTATGGTGGTGTCAGGGTTCTAGGGCACTATGGTGGTGTCAGGGTTCTAGGGCACCATGGTGGTGTCAGGGTTATAGGGCACTATGGTGGTGTCAGGGTTCTAGGGCACCATGGTGGTGTCAGGGTTCTAGGGCACTATGGTGGTGTCAGGGTTATAGCGCACCATGGGGGTGTGGGGGTTCTAGGGCACCATGGGGGTGTGGGGGTTCTAGGGCACCATGGGGGTGTGGGGGTTCTAGGGCACCATGGGGGTGTCAGGGTTTAAGGACACCATGGGGGTGTGGGGGTTCTAGGGCACTATGGAGGTGTGGGGGAGATGAATAAACTCACTGCTCATTAACAAGGACATCATAAAAGGTGTTAAAGCGATTTGCTGAAATCAGATGTATTGGGCCAAAATATCTAGATTTCACAGGCCATCTGTAAATAACAACACACAGTGCCAACCACCTATTTATATCCTTCACTCCAAAAGAATATTCTTTAAAAATTACGCAAAATGTTGTTTTGGCAATTTTTCTAAATATTCTGTGGAAGGGGGGTGTCAAACTCTGAGACCAGTGAGCAGACAAGCAAGCATGAAATGTAATGTTTTTAAAATCCATTTTCTTTACCCTAAATAATTTCTCAAAACTATGTCAGTTAAAATAATTCTTCCCATGTTCACACACACACACTATACAGTCGTAGCCAGCACCAAAGCTGTTTTACAAGCATAGTGCAAACAGTCCAGGGCAACAGGGTTAAGGAAAATTGCAGAAGTAGTAGTGGTGGTTGACAGGGTTCAGTGCAGCATGCACTGAGGGAGATTTATTCAAGGTACACAGGTTTCAATGCAGCATGCACTGAAGAAAATTTATTCAAGGTAGACAGGGTTTAGTGCAGCATGCACTGAAGAAAATTTATTCAAGGTAGACAGGGTTTAGTGCAGCATGTGCTGAAGGACATTTATGCAAGGTAGATAGGTTTCAGTGCAGCATGTACTGAAGGACATTTATGCAAGGTAGACAGGGTTTAGTGCAGCATGTACTGAAGGACATTTATGCAAGGTAGACAGGGTTTAGTGCAGCATGTACTGAAGGACATTTATGCAAGGTAGACAGGTTTTAGTGCAGCATGCACTGAAGGACATTTATGCAAGGTAAACAGGTTTTAATGCAGTATGTACTGAAGGACATTTATTCAAGGTAGACAGGTTTTAGTGCAGCATGTACTGAAGGACATTTATGCAAGGTAGACAGGTTTTAGTGCAGCATGTACTGAAGGACATTTATGCAAGGTAGACAGGTTTTGGTGCAGCATGTACTGAAGGACATTTATGCAAGGTAGACAGGTTTTAGTGCAGCATGTACTGAAGGACATTTAAGCAAGGTAGACAGGTTTTAGTGCAGCATGTACTGAAGGACATTTATGCAAGGTAGACAGGTTTTAGTGCAGCATGTACTGAAGGACATTTATGCAAGGTAGACAGGGTTTAGTGCAGCATGTACTGAAGGACATTTATGCAAGGTAGACAGGTTTCAATGCAGCATGTACTGAAGGACGATATTTATTCAAACAATCTAACAGAAATATCTCCACTTCCCAAATGTTAGGATGAAGGGTGCTTCCCTCTTCCAGAATATATATGTTTAATGTTGACAGTGGAGCGAGGTTTTGGACTGTGCTATGGAGTTTGTGCATGAGCGTCCATTCTCCTATTGGTGTTTCATCAGCGTTGTGTGGTGACATTTCATACATGGCAACTAAACGAAAGGCTTACCAGGAAAAAGCATATGCTAAGTACATCGGCCGACTGCTGACAGCACTGACCTGAAAAAGTGTCATTTTCATTTGTCACATTTTATCCAGAAAATTTTCAATAAAAATCATGAAACATGGTTATAAACAGAGGCACAGTTAAGAAGTTATGCAAGTATCTAGAATTCAACATTTCAGTTCTAACACACTCATTACTATCAGAACTTACAGTATTATCCAGAATGCAAGCATTTAAATTCTAAATACATTCATTCAAAACATTAAACATCTCTACCACATTTCTGACTCTCACACATGCACACAACAATATCAAGTTGAAGTCGAATGAGTATCCTTTACAAGTTGCTGCAGAACAAACCATGGCTATGTTGTTGCTGTTTTGTGATTTTACATGAGATGGTGAATGGCAAGAGACACTGCTTCCAGCAGGCTGTGGTGTATGCAAAGGGTCTACTACAAGAGATGGTGAATGGCAAGAGACACTGCTTCCAGCAGGCTGTGGTGTATGCAAAGGGTCTACTACATGAGATGGTGAATGGCAAGAGACACTGCTTCCAGCAGGCTGTGGTGTATGCAAAGGGTCTACTACATGAGATGGTGAATGGCAAGAGACACTGCTTCCAGCAGGCTGTGGTGTATGCAAAGGGTCTACTACATGAGATGGTGAATGGCAAGAGACACTGCTTCCAGCAGGCTGTGGTGTATGCAAAGGGTCTACTACATGAGATGTTATATCACTACATCATTCACTGAGAGGTGGCTACTGCTTCATTGCTCAGTAGCTTTCTCACCCAAACATTTGTTGTTTTAAAACTCTATGTTGATGGCAACACTCTCTTGTCTTTAGAAAGAATATCTTTTTCCATGCAAACACTGAATGTGAACCAATGTGTAGGTAAACCAGCAAATTATCCTGTATGCCACCATGGGATCTTCAAAATACAAATAGTTTAAATATTTCTGCTTGCGGAAACTATTACAGACTTAATGTGCTCTTAGTTTTAGATTAAACTAGCCACTGGATCAATGTTACATCAGGAGTTTTGGCCACATTAGGAGGAGTCAACAAACAGCTGGTCAAATGACAAACCAGAGAACAAGAGAAACTATTCCATGGATGGCCTGGACCTGTGGCATAACTGAGAGGCAGACCTCATGTGATCTAAGACTCTGGTGATTGCAGGAAATCATCAACCATGCTTTCTCCATATTTATCAGCATGGCACATGACGATCATTTCCAGTGTTACATATTATGTTTCATATCGGCTCAGACTAAATGAATGAACAGTTTTCAAGCAACTTACAGATACAGTGTCTAACCGCATGCCATCTTTCAGCCTTTTCCGAAACCGCAGCAAGACTTCCAATGCATGTACAAGAGTCAAGAGAAAGGCACTGGTGTAAAAACTCTGTGGAGGACAGCGATGTAACAAAACATGAGCACAAACAGTTCTCAAAAACAAGCCATCTGGTGATGAAGAGTAAGTCCTTCTGGATTAGCCCCGAGTACACTCGTCCATTCTTTACATGGCACAAGTTGTGTAATACATATAAATCACAGCAGTTGTCAATCCACTGAATATGCCATCAAGGCATACTAGGTGTGAGGTGATAAACTTATATGAGATGACCTCAGCTGAATATGAGATTGCCAGCTAGGTTTCTCAGTCTGGTCATCAGTGTTGTATAAAAACAAAACACTGAGAAGTTACTGAAAGAGTCAGTTTGTAACAGAAGGAATTATGTTTGTACATAGAACAAAGAGAAAGAAGAGTCAGTTTGTAACAGAAGGAATTATGTTTGTACATAGAACAAAGAGAAAGAAGATACAAGAACATTTAAGAGCCTGAGTTTTAGAATTCAAGAATTTAAGTCAGTGACACTTTAGGGCAGAGATAATTGACACACAATCTTGGAGCTGATAATTTGCTATCAGCAAACAGTCTGACTACAAATAATGCTAGTAAAGATTAATAGATATTTTAAAAGGCCAGAATAGTCAGTTCAGGTCTTCGGGATGGCTGCTGCAACCGACGGATTGAGCAGGCAATATGCAGTGATCTTCTCAATTTGTAAATATGCAGTCTGGACTGTGATAATCTTTAGCACCTTTCTATCTTTCCTGCCATAAAGTTTTCAGGTTGCATTTTTCTTTCTTGGATAAGGCAAGAACCCTCCTCTATGCGCTCCTCTGCCTGAAGCCATTGGCACAATGAAGGATGTCAGGTTTGGTATATGCCCTCTAACATTCAGTATTAATAAAATTCAGCTAGTAGTGGCTACTGTTATACCGTAGCTCATTCATATCTAACCAACAATTGACCAATTGTGACCATTACATACCTTATCCACTACGCTCCAGTGTGGATATTCACTTCATCTGAACATAATTATACTAATTATTATTACTATTACTACTAACCATTACATATGATACTGGTTATCAAGCATGTCCACTGCCTTCAGTACCATATAATATCATCATTTCTTATACTGATGTTTCCTTGCCATGTTGCCAAACTGAGCAAACATCTCTAGTAGTCTCCCTCTGCATCCCTTCACATCTGTCTGTCCCACCGTCATGAGGCACTCCTCTATACCCTTTCTTCTGAGGTGCCAAACTGCCCCCTTTTGATGAGGGTCATCAGCATCCTCTGAGAATTAATACCTTTATAAATACTGTATGTCCTTTATTTGTCAATAGTGTTATCATTCTTCTACAATTTCTTTTCTCACCTCGGTTAACAGAGATACCAGACAGGATATTCTTCATTTTGTGAAATTCTGCTTTTGTTTAAGCTGTTCCAAATTAACTTCTTTAACATCTGTTGCAATCAGGGTAGCAAAGTACCTGAACATACTGACATGCTTTAGACTTGTAACATTTACTTTTCTACTGTGATCTGGAGAATATTTGTTCCTTGTGATTAGCATTACTTCTCTTTATTTCTGCAGTTCAAACAAAAACCTTCTGTTATAATTATGTCCATCATGCTGTGTAGCTTTTTTTAAAAACATCTCACAGTTTATAAATCAAAGACACACCAGATCAGTGTTAGCACCATAGAATCAAATATGACAAACACTTCAACAACTTACAGTGACTAAACCTGAGAGGGCAGCACAGACGGCCCCACCATCGTCAGAGGTTTCACTCAAGAATGTGGCTGAGCTGACTATGAGTGTGAAGGATGCAAGCAAGTCAGCAAGGGCTAAATGGAAGGTGGGAAATATCTGGGGAAACAGCAAAAAATATACAGTGACCTAGTGACAGCCATTCATACATACATCATCAGGCAGTGCAGGATGGGTGTACGAATGAAGCATAGGCCCTCAATTGTATAAAGCTAATCCTTCCAATGAAGACTGGTTAATAATCTTCTGAAGTTTACCCACAGCAAACCTTCTTTAGAACAGCCAGCCTTCGCTAGTTGTGTCTTATGTCACTTGGTGGAATTCTTTGCTCCCCTTCTAGGTAACAGAGGGGTAGGCAATCTATCTATGAACTGCAGGTTCTGATTTAAAAAAAAAAGAAAACTGTCTGTCTTTTTTATCACTGACACTGAGACCTCATAAATAACTTGGAAGATAGTTGGCTGATGTCACAATTGTCTACACACAGTACTGTATATAATAGGCAGTGTCTACAATAGGTACCTGGCAACCCTGGACTACACATTACACACAGAAATCTGACAAACTGATCTTAACCATATATTACAGATGCTTTAGTTTGTTGTATCCTGTTCTTTCCCCAGTTATCCTGCCTTTCATCACCCAGCAGAGCACAGGTCCTTAACCAGCTGTACACTTGTTCATGATTGGTTGGATTTTACTAGGGTATTAGACAGCCAGCTTGAGGTCTGAGGTCAAGCCTTACGGGTCTCTGACAACACACACACTAGCTTTCAGTGTTGCAATACTTTGTTTACCTCATGGGTTGAGCATATAACAATGTTCTTCCTGTTCTTAGCGTTCACCGGCAGCAAACTCTAGTGCAAAGCTCTGGTTGTTCCTCCATTTCTGGACTTTGGTCAGGTTCCAGGACTTCTGTTTTGGCGTGCAGACTTTTGGTTCCTTGTCTCTCAGGCAGGTGCTCTCTGTCTTTGAAGGAATTAACGGTGTTAAGCCTGTCGCCCCAAAAAACTCAGTTTTATGACTTTCACAGGTTTTTGACGACAAGGCATATTTGAGTAATATGCCTATATAACAGTTCTGGGTACAAGTCACAGCAGTTTTTTCTTTGCTATGTTTGTATTTAGTGATTATTTTCCTTCATATAATAACAACTGTTTGCAATATTATAACTTTAAATGAAAAATCCATCTGTTTAGTGACTTAAAGTCTGGGATGACACAATACCTAGCAGGCTTCCCCGTCTGCTCGGTGGTCATGTTTCAACCTCCTGGTGTTTTGAAAAAATGACAAAGACTCCAAATTTCTGCTGCTTCTTCTCTTTCTCTAGTTTCTTAGGGCAAAGTTTCAGAGCTTTATAACAACGAGGCACTTTTTAATAACATTTTAAGAAAAGGTAATTTTTTTAATACGCATTTTTACGGGATGAAAGAGGTAAAATCCCTCCACTTTCAACTGAACTAGTTGCCAATTGGTGCTTATTCATCAAGCTGAACTCATGCATGTTATCAAATAACTCTTTGAAATCTTAACAAATAACACATTTAATTATTCTCTAATGCTCTCAAAAACGAACCTCTGGGTAGAAAACACGTCTGTGATAAATTGAACATATGAGTACTGATCCTGCACCGGCAAGGCTGGAAATGGGGAATAAATACAGTACAATTAACTCCATTAATATATGCAAATACTGTTGATAGTTACTTATTCAATATAAAATATGGAGATATTTACGAGTATTTATTCAATATCAAATATTGGTGTTTTATTAATTCTACATCTGTGGCGTAGGCATTGAAAACATGCTGGGTTTGATCCCAGCTGCAGACGATTTGTCTTGCATTGGTTTCGACAGTGGTACCCAGAGCTGATCATTCAGAGAGTAATGGCAAACTACTGAACATAACATTTGCCTAGAAAAACCACAACAGTCAAAAATGCTGGGATTGGTTCTGCAACGTCATGTAAAGGTTACACAACTAACTTTTATCATTAATTATTATTGTACATAAAAAATGGAGATATGCCTAATGAATATTTATTACAGAAAAAGTATGGAGATACTGTTAGTGATGATTTGTTGGATGTAACAGAGAGATATCCTGAACGATTATTTATTATACAGCAAATACCAGGGCATCTGTGGTAGACCAGAAACTCTATCATCTGTAATAGTCGACATGCAGGAGATTTATTATAGAATTAGGAGCAACTGCAGTCCAGCTGATATCAACAAGTACCTGAATAGTGGAACTTGGCCCCAGGTCAAACCTGCATGGGGTGCGTACAAGGTATAATCCTGGGAAGTATAGGCGACCACATCACCCACCCAGCACCGATTGGTCTATAAAATCTGGTCTAGCCTATATGCCCAACAATTCTGAAGGCGTGGAAAAGGGTCCTTTATTTATATCAAGAAGTAACTGAATAGTAAAACTGATATCAAGAAGTACATATTGACTGACAGATTGGCACCTTTCCTTCTTTCCAGATGATATTGTTATACTGCGCTATGAGGAGGCATGGGACTCACAGCCCATGGTGATGGTGAGTGTGTCTAGCAAGACTCACCCACCTTCAGGAAAGTCTTCCACAATTACGGCATGGGATTTCCGAACCGCTGTTGTCAACATTTGTGTTTACTCTGTCGCTTCTCAGATGCTCTGCTCTCATTTCTTCCTTCATTCTCAATCCCTTCCTGATATACCCCATCCACACAACACTGCCCATGGCATTTTGTTCCGAGCCCACTTCAATACCTCTATCATTCATGTCCTGACTGCATACATCTTTATATCATAGTAGAGGTCAGCCTCAACATCTTCTACCCATCTTCATCCTCTCCACAGCACAAAGCCTGGCAGACTACTGCAGATAGAGACCATTTGTTGACCATGCATCATGATCATTCTCTCGACCTGCCTTGTTTACTCCAAAGGAAAAGTAACACCAGTATGCTTGGAACAAAGCTGGCTGCAAAAGCTGCCATTCGAGAAAAGCAATGCTCTGTCTGCCTGTCAGAGGTTCCCTCCTAGACCAGCTGCCAGCCAAGGCTAAGGGTCTAGTCTGCCCTGCCATAACAAAGTTTTCGGGTTGAATTTCTCTTTCTAAGATAAGGCTAGTATCCTCCCCAATGCGCTCCTCCGCCTGAAGTCGTTGACACAATATGGGATGTTGGGTTTGGTTTACACTGCCCAAAATTTGTTGTTAACAGACGACAGGTGGTACAGTTACTGTTATATGTTAGCTCAGTCTATTTGACCAAGACCTGACTGAAGTCAGGAGCTGATATCAAGAAGTACCTAAACAGTAAAAGATTATATCAAGAAATACCTAAACAGTGAAGATTATAACAAGAAGTACCCTAACAGTGAAGATTATAATAAGAAGTACCTAAACAGTGAAGATTATATCAAGAAGTACCTAAACAGTGGAAATAATATCGAGAAGTACCTAAACAGATGAGATAATATCAAGAAGTACCTAAACAGTAAAGATTATATCAAGAAGTACCTAAACAGTGAAGATTATATCAAGAAGTACCTAAACAGTAAAGATTATATCAAGAAGTACATAAACAGTAAAGATTATATCAAGAAATACCTAAACAGTAAAGATTATAACAAGAAGTACCTAAACAGTTGAGATAATATTGAGAAGTACCTAAACAGTGGAGATAATATCAAGAAGTACCTAAACAGTGAAGATTATAACAAGAAGTACATAAACAGTGAAGATTATAACAAGAAGTACCTAAACAGTAAAGATTATATCAAGAAGTACCTAAACAGTGAAGGTTATATCAAGAAGTACCTAAACAGTGAAGATTATAACAAGAAGTACCTAAACAGTGAAGTTATATCAAGAAGTACCTAAACAGTGAAGATTATAACAAAAAGTACCTAAACAGTAAAGATAATATCAAGAAGTACCTAAACAGTGGAGATTATATCAAGAAGTACCTAAACAGTGAAGATTATATCAAGAAGTACCTAAACAGTAAAGATAATATCAAGAAGTACCTAAACAGTGAAGATTATATCAAGAAGTACCTAAACAGTGAAGATTATATCAAGAAGTACCTAAACAGTGGAGATTATATCAAGAAGTACCTAAACAGTGAAGATTATCTCAAAAAGTACCTAAACAGTGAAGGTTATATCAAGAAGTACCTAAACAGTGAAGATTATCTCAAAAAGTACCTAAACAGTGAAGGTTATATCAAGAAGTACCTAAACAGTGAAGATTATATCAAGAAGTACCTAAACAGTGAAGATTATAACAAGACATAACTAAACTTTGAAGATTATATCAAGAAGTACCTAAACAGTGGAGATTATATCAAGAAGTACCTAAACAGTAAGATTATAACAAGAAGTACCTAAACAGTGAAGGTTATATCAAGAAGTACCTAAACAGTGAAGATTATATCAAGAAGTACCTAAACAGTGAAGATTATAACAAGACATAACTAAACATTGAAGATTATATCAAGAAGTACCTAAACAGTGGAGATTATATCAAGAAGTACCTAAACAGTAAGATTATATCAAGAAGTACCTAAACAGTAAGATTATAACAAGAAGTACCTAAACAGTGAAGCTTAGTCTTAGTCAAGGTTTTAACTACACTGCAATTGGGTCACCCTTTACTTGCTCCGTTCCTGTACCAGTGAAAATCAAATGAAATAATAATGGAGCTGATATCAAGAAGTACCTAAAAACAAGATAAGCTGCGAGTTCAACATTTATTATTTTATGTTTGGGATATGTTACATCGCCACTAGCCTTTGCATGCAAGTATGTGTGTGAATACAAATACATATACACACATACAAGTGTGTCTGTGTGCTTTGTTCACTTACAGGTGCAGAGAGAGAGAGACACATCTTATGTAACAATAGTTGCACAACATTACCTTAACAAAGCAGTCACTATACTGAAGCTCGCTACTGCCACCACCTGAAAATGATCATATAATTATCTGTGTCATATTTATTCAACAATGTTAACTGTAAACAATGCTAATTTAATTTAATCATTACTATACAGTGAAAAAGATCACAATAGGACAGCCAAAAACAACATTTAACAATAATAAATCTCTAATTACTAGAGTTAGAAACAGAAATGTCACATGCTATACAAAACCTGTTTCACTATATGGGCTGTGAATCCTAGAAAATTAATAAACAAGCCAAACACTTTCATGAGACATCAGAGATGTGGTTTTAAAAAAGAATGCTCAAAATTCCTTGCACAGCCAAAATTAGTAATTCAGATGTTCTGAAAGAGGCAAAATCCAAAAAAGAAACATCAGGAGACATCATTTTTTGGCTATGTTATGAGAAGAGGGAAACCAGAACATGTTCTGGAAAGATTTGTGGAAGGAGAGACAGAGAAAGATAAAGTAAGAAGACATTTGACAGCCTTCTGTCATGGCACAGAGTAGTGTCAGCCTACTGTGTGGTATCTCTGATGTTGGAGATCATAGGCTGTGAAGATGCATGGTTGGTAAAGCACTTGAGGTTGACGATAAATTACTATTCATATATGCATGAATTTATTTTAAATGACACAGTGAAGATTCTCAATGCTCAGTCTTCAAAGTCTCAGATGGCTAAGACACACTGGGGGGATGGAGGATGGTAGAGCCCAAAAAGGACACACTTTATGGTACCATGAATGATGTCATTAATGCCGAGCGAGCTGCATATCGCAAAGAAGATCACAACAAGAAACACAGCTCAATTTCCTTGTCCAGGTTGGTGAACATGGGGATGCAACCTGGAGTAGCCACACATGGACATTTCAGCAAGGGCACAAGGTGTCTAATCAACACACAACAGGTGTAATCAGTCGTTTTATTTTTGTGGAGCTATTGAGGAGGGAACTGGAGCACCTACAGATCTGTCTGGAGTACTGTATTGATAATCCTTATTAAACTAATCATCTATGGTAAATAAAGATGGGCAGAAGATGTTATGGTCAGTCTCTACACAATATAAAATATGCGAAAGCATGACAAGAATGATGAAGATATTGAGAAGGATTTCTGGGAATGGGATAACATCTACATTTGTGCAACAATAACAAAATTCCATAAACATCTTTGGGGGGAGGCAGGAAAAAATATGGATAAAGGAGAAAATAGTAGACAGGTTCACTTACTAATTAGCGCCTGAGAAGAAGCACATTAACATGGCAACAATTTACAATGGTTCTAAAACCCCATGAGACAATATTTCCATTCCTCCATACACCACAAAATAACACTACTGTCTGGAAAGACGGCAAGGTACCACCGAAAAGTGAAAGTTACGTAATGAATTATTTGTCACAGACAGTGAGTTTACCAGACGCCATCAGTTACAAAAATAACTTAAGATACAGTTAGAAACTTGGCGCAATATGCTCACATTGATGTTTTCATGCCACACAAGTGAACTATTGTAAAGCCGAATGCTTGTGTTGGTCAAAGAGCTCATTTTACGGAGAGAGATCCGCGTATGAAGCTCCCGTCATTTTGAAAGAAGCCAGGTCCTAACGTCTGCTGCAGCAAGCGAATCCAGTGATCCAAGTTTTTATGTTGCACGTCACGTGCATGGCTTTATCAAAACAACAACACCCAATACACGGCACAGGTGGTGGGGCAGGGTGGTGAATGATTACAATCATGTTCCTGTTTCTATTTGTTTAATATACAGTCAAAAACAATATGTTTTAAATGATTGTACTGACAGAAAATGAACGCTACTAAATAATATAATTTTATTTGTTGTAAATTCTAATGCCCTGTTGCTATTGGTAACTAAAGTGTTTTGAATGTACATTTATTTCGTGAGTTGATTCAAGAACCGACATTACAACTGTCCCTGTCTTCAGCAGCTAGCACAGTGTTCATATAACAGTGGTGCCAGTAGCATTCTGACTGTATGTCCGTCTTGCCTTTTCTCTAAGCGTCGAGTATCGGCCAAGTCCCCTCGTCACTGCCCACCGCATCACTCTCACTAGACTGATGATCATTTTCTGTTCCAAAATGTATACGTACTACCCCCGTAAGGCCTCAACCACTTGGAGGTGATGGAGCATGATTACATGTATGTTCCTGTTTCTAACTGGTTAATTTGTACTTTGTGTTGTTTTGTGCACGTCTTTCGCTTCTCCTATTTTGTTGAGCCTTAGAGTCAAATTTCTCTGGAATTCCTTGCACGCACGCACACACACACACACACACATACACACATACACACAAACACACATACACACAAACACACATACATACATACATACACACACACACACACACATACATACATACTTACATACATACATACATACATACATACATACATACATACATACATACATACATACATACATACATACATACATACATACATACATACATACATACATACATACATATACATACATACATACATACATACATACATACATACATACATACATACATACATACATACACACACACACATACATACATACATACATACATACATACATACATACATACATACATACATACATACATACATACATACATACATACATACATACATACATACATACATACATACATACATACATACATACATACATACATACATACATACATACATACATACATACATACATACATACATACATACATACATACATACATACATACATACATACATACATACATTTTAACATACATACATACATACATACATACGAACATACATACATACATACATACATACATACATACATACATACATACATACATACATACATACATACATACATACATACATACATACATACATACATACATACATACATACATACATACATACATACATACATACATACATACATACATACACTCATACACACGCTCTAAAACACACACGCATACAACCCAGACACATACAGACACACACACATACACACACGCAGGCAGGGAAACAGACACACATAGACATACGCAACACCCACACATACACAGGTATACACACACAGACACGCACAGTCACACATACGCACACAGACATACATGCAGACGCATAACCAGACACAAGCAGAGACACGCAGACATTATATAATAGACACACCGATAGAGACTCACACAGATACACACAAACCCACGCACAGCCACAGACAAACACAGATACACATGCAGCCATACACACCTACAGACACATAATGGCACACACACACACACTGACACACAGAGTGTCACGAGACGATCTCAGTGATTCCAGAAGTTAGTACTTGTAATAAGTTCTTCTGGTTCTAAAGAGACAGAATTATATTTACTCTGCGCTTTATCCTAATATTGCTTTAAACCGCACGGATTTAAATTGTTACCAGTCCTTCTTCGAGACAAGCCACTGCGCTTTGTTTAAAATTACCCAACACTACGTAATATTGCCCGTTGGTTCAGACTAGGGATGTTAGATTGCATTCTCACGCCAGTGTCAGAATGTTATCTCCTGACCAGACTGTAGAGACTGAGGGGGGGCCCTTTTGACCAGGTAAATTGAGTGGACGCTAGACATTGTAGAGCCCAGAGGTCAGAGTTTCACACGTCAGTGTAATTTCGGGGAGAACAGTTGTGTGGCAATTAGGACTGTTTGATCTGGGTCAAGTAGGAAACACAATGGCTTCACTGAACGTCTTTTAACACCTGCCAGTTAGATTCGTTGTAAACTAGATTGGGTCACTTAAGAATGTTTGCTCTAGGGATGTCAGTCCAGAATTGAGTGACAGGTCACTGGTTAGCCAAGTGATCTGATAGTTACCTCAGGGGCGGTGCTTAAGCCATCATCTTGAGGGTTGGGTAAAAACTAAGGAAAGGGAGGAGTTTAATTTGGACAATAGATTGATACTTATACTTCGAGCCTGTGGAATTTCCGTCATTAATCGCAGCCTGCCGGCAAACAACACAGATCGACCTAAAAGGTAAATTTTACGGTCGCATTCTGTTTTGGCGATTAATGGAAAGTTCCCAGGTAAGAGAAAATATTAATTTTAATCTTGTATACTTAGGTTAGGGAGTTAAGCTTAGTCTATACTACCTTTTCCTAATTTGTCTGCACATTCTGCTTGAAATAGTTCTGTGTGAGTATTCAGTATCTCAGTTAGGGAACTGCTAAACTATTCCTATTTCTTGTAGGTTTGTGTCACATGTTTTTCATTGTATGTTTTCATGTGTATAAAATAAGATGTGAACAATGACATTTGCTATAATGAAATGTAATTATATTGTTTTCACGATCAGCCAAAATATGAGTTGGGACTGTGGGAAATGATGCCCAAATATGTGCAGGGATGCTGCTACGTTTTGTGTGCCCACCATGTGCTCACTTAATGTGTTCACCTGAACAGGGATGGGGGGGGGGGGGGGGCTTATTTATAACCCCAGGGGAAGAATGATGGGTGTACAGTATTCACGGTCACTGAAAGCTAATATTCAGGACAGCGTGCACATATAAATTGTTTGCGGGTTCAGCACATAACCTGCGCCACATGTTTATGTCAAATCTATGTCAGCCAACTCGAAGTCTGAGTGAAGACGGACAACAGACTTAGAAAGTCAACTATCATGACATAGCATTTGAGGGAAGGCAGGATATGTGACGCCCATGTAAGACAAAAGACCTTCAGACTAGACTGGAGAGGATGTGGAATATGAGGAGGAGTGATGGGCTATATCTTATTATTATATGTTGTATTAATTGATACATGTATTCTTAGTGTAAGTCAAGATACTACACGTATGTGTTTTGTTTCCATGATTACAGCGCCCATGTGACGATCAGTCCATGAAGTAGCCTACATTGTGTTAGACTCGGCCAGCTGGGGACGAGGTGGAGAACGAGGTGGAGAACGAGGTGGGGATGAAGTGGAGAATAAGCTGAAACAGGCAGACAACAGGCAAGGAAGAGTTGGACAAGCTTGACAGTTCCTCACGGCTGTCAGAGGCTTATAAGTTGAGTTAACCCCTTTATGTTAACCTATTATCATCATTATCATATCACTCTAACCCCCGAGCTGTTTTTCTCGCTGAAGCTTACCACTATCATCAAGTTAACCAGTCACTGTTTGTGTAAATCAACAAACTGGGAATTTCATTGTAGTAAATAAAGCTGTATGTCAAGTTTTAAACTACATAGTTTGTTAAATTCCTAATGTCTGTTCTTCCATGTTTAATTAAACTGTTAAGATAGATTACCATTTGGTGGGGGCTCAAATAATATAATAATTCTTTAATTATTAATAATAACACCGGGAGAAGGTAGATGACGGAGGAATCACTTGCCCTGTCTAATAATTCATTAACATTAAGTATGATAGACATCTAAAATTCCTTGCCTTCTCTTGTGGGTACCAAGTTCAGCTAATGTTAATATACTTAACGAGCCAATATGGCTGTTTTCTTGGATATCCAGGACTTTGTCTGAGAGCAACATAGCTCAGATTTTAGTTCGGTGTATCTAGTGGAAAGAAAGTGTTGAAAGGAAGATCCCTACTCAACAACATAAACATTTAAACCACGCGTCACGTCACACAGAGACATACACAAACGCATAATAACACACCCACAGACGCACAAATACTCTCACAGACATACACATGCAGACGCACACACACATACACACACATTATCAAAAAGATGAACATACAAATACACACGAAACAACACACAGAGAAACACAGCCATATACACACGCAGGCATAGACACACGCAGAAACACCTACAGACACAGCATAGATACACACAAACAGACAGACACACATACACAGACAAACATGCAGCCAAGCCACACCCACACGTAATCACATACAATCACACACACAGACACACACGCAGCCACACATACAGATAGGCATTTAAAAAAAAACACAGACACACAACACAGACTGACACGCACACTGACACGCAGACAGACACACACACAGACACGCACGCAGACACCATACAGACAAACAGACACACTCACAGACACACGCCTACGCACAGATACAAACACACAAACGTGTACAGTTACCTATGCATACACAGAATCATACATGCACAAATACGCCTACACACGCCTGCATGTCATACATATCCGCATACAAACATATCATACGTACTGCAATTAATTATAACTAGTAATGCATTGTGGATTATTAACTACATTTAAGGTGGCATGTAATCACTGATAATCATGAAATGAAAGAGTTTGCGGTTAAATGAGTAAGGACTTTTTGTAGTTTTCAAATCGAGTGGAAGATGGTTCCATAAATGAGCAGCAGAATATGACAGACTTGTTTTAAATAAATCAATTCTGGGTTTAGGCAAATGTAATAAACCTAGTCGCTTGCTATTCTTAGGATTAGATTGAATAAATCGGTCGATGTAATTTGGAGTATCTTTAGATAGGATTTTGTGAATAAATTTGGTTTTATTAAAAATTAAACGTTTACTAAA